ACTTGACTTGAGTTACTTCATCGTAGTAAATGTTTATGGAACACTTGGACAGCTTATAGTGAATATGATGAAGATGGAAGTTGTTTAATGATCGATGAGTTATCATTAATTGCTTAATCACATGTTTACTCTAGTATAGGTGCAAATCTAGTCGACAGTTAATAATAATTAACTTGACAATAATGCTTTTAGAAAGGTTCTTGAAATGCTAAAATGCTTCTTTTGCAAATGAGTCACTACCCTACTATAAAGCCCGCATAATCCTTGGTGTCATTTATTTTCGGTTATGTCGGGAAGTCTGGCCGAGTACCTTCTCGTACTCGTGGTTTTATTCCCACTTGTTGCAGATGGGCGAGATGTATTACGGCTATTGTATCAACCGCCTTTATCCCGCAATGGTGATGCTTAGGACCATGGGCATGGTCATTCCTTACGCCTCATCTAATGCTTTTGTTGGAGATGATCATTCATTTGGCACTATATTTAAACTCCGCGTGAGTGTGTGTGTGGTTTGAACAAATGACTTCCGCTACTTTTTTTTCGAACTGGTTTGTAATAACTATGTTTAAACTCTGATGTATCTGAGATTGCGAACTTTTATGTAATATGTGATGGTGACCGCTAAACTTATTACGATCATGGCTGGGACACGAGTTAGTTTGAAATCCTTTGTGATTTCACGGACTACCGGGTTATACGGGCTTAAGTTTGTTCAATCGTCTGCTCTGGTGGATGATTCTCTTACTTAATTTCGTATAATTGGTCGGTTCTGTTACATCCTCGGCTCCTACTTCTCCTACTCCTCTCCTCCCCTGTTTCTCTATTATAACTGTTTTCCTTGACATAAATTTAGGAGAAGATATGGCCGAACTCGCTTCGTCGAATCTGTCAAATAATTATGTGTATGATCTAGTCTTCCAACCAGCATTGGGGAGGGCAAACCACCTATAACCAAGCATAATAAGTAACATGTTTTAAAGACACCTCTATAGATATTTTGTTCTGATATATATAATTTTTAAATGTAGACAATTCATCCTATACCATGATGCAAAGAGACTCAAATTTTGGGGTTGATTTCCTCAATGTTGGTATATTCCCTATAGATGGTGGACTCAAGCAATGTCGAATTGGCTTTTTTATTCTCGCTAGGGCGGGTAACCAATAAGGTATGGTTTTATACATCGATAGGACGAACAACGGTCAACCTCATGACATTAGTGCGCAAAAATATGTTGTGCAAGCATGTTTAAGGGCGCTTCAAAATATTGAGTACAATATTCCTACATACTCCTCCATGAGGATTGCTGCTTTGAATGTGGGCCTCGACCACGATATTGGACTATTTTGTGCATAGCTTGCTGAGGACAACATGAATGATGTGGTCAGTCTCATAACTTATATCTAGATTAATTGTTATGTCTATATATATGCATGGTTTTGATAATTACATTTTTCTCAACACTTGCAAATTTAGGAGAACGACGTAACATACGCAAGTTGTAGCTTTGAAGCCATTTTAAACCAGGCCATGTGTCACTTGGGTCGTTATAAATGTGAATATGGTGGCCCTGTTCTCACTTTAGAGGGAATCCAGGAAAAAATTCTTGTGACTAGGAGGGAAGATTCTTGACCAATGCTAATCATCGTCAGTAGAACTTGTGAACGATCTTGTGAAGCAAGGAAGAGTACACTAGTAAATACATTACACTACATCAGTGATATTTTGGCATATGAAATAAATGATTTGCACTTCTCTGAGTACGTGGTACGACGTTGGAAAATTATAGGAAGTTAAATTACTGTTAGTTGTAATAATGAACTAATCTAAATTATTATGGTTTGTAATGAACAAATTTAAATTATTATGTGTTTGTAATGAATGGGTTTGTAATGAAGTAATTTAAATTATTATAGGTTTGTAATGCATATATCTTCTTGTCAATTAGTTGTTGATATAATGTCCTTGTGAATTATATATTATATATATATATGTATATATGTTCTGGTCATATTTAAATTTTCAAATTTCAAATTTTTTGGTGTGAAAATGTACTATAGGGCGGTTCTAGAGTGAACCGCTCCTACAAATAGAAATTATTGGGGCGGCTGGTGTTACAACAGCCCCTATAAATTATTTTTGTAGAGACAGCTGGTGTTACCAATCACCTCTACAAATACAGTTGTAGGGGCGGTTGGTGACACAATCTGCCTCTACAAATCGATTTGTAGATGCGGCTTTGGAACTGCTCCTATAAACCCTTGATTTGTAGAGACGCTGTGGTAGGGGCGGCTGGCAAAACCGCATCTACATACCATCGCCAGCCGCCCCTACAAATGCTTACGGTAGTAGTGCCAGTGACGTCCAAATCTCGGACACTCCCTCTCCGTCACATAATTTTTTCACAATTATCTTTGGCTTTCTCTAGGTTCGTCTTAGGGCTCGTTTGGATCTTGAAATTAAATTTATTTTAATAATTATAATTGAGACACATATTAATTAAATTAATATGGTTGTATATGGATTAGTATATTTGTATATTATTGTTGGCTATACGAGAGGGCTACTTATATGTTGCATTGCTACCATAGAGGAGTGAGTTGAAGAACGCGTTATAAGTTGCAAAGTAGAAACATAGAACGATGATCAATTTCATGTCTTACCCTATGAATTTGAGATAGGCTTATATGTGAACTTTGGAAAGTGATGGAATATCAAATTGCAAACCAAATAACATAATTTATTAGGTATATTTTAATTTCTCCAAATGAAAGGATCCAAAAGGACCTTTAAATTAATTATCACTCGTACTTCCCAACACACGTTTATTTTTGAGACAATTGCATTACTGTCATTGTTTTCAACTCTAACTGCACGTTTGCACCTAATTTTTTAAATTTGCATATTTGTCCCTGTTTTTTTTTTAATCCGAAGCTGTCTGTCTATCCCTGTTTCTTAACTCATGAGCTGCTGGTAATTGATGGGTTAAAAAATTGTTTGAAAAAAAGAAGAAAGAGGAAAAGACTATGCTGCCCTCCCTTATATCCAAAACATACAGGCCTCCTCTTCTCCGCTTCTCCTGTGACGGTGACAACAGCGCGCTAGGGGCTGCTGCAGCGTGGTAGTGTGTGTGTTGGGGTTGGGGTGGGGGCGGGGAGGGACAGGCCAGCGGTCTCTATACAATATCTCTCTCTTTCCACTTCGTTCTCGTTTTCTATATACTACACCCTTTTGTTTGCTTTTTCTTAATTCTCATGCCCAAAGCAAACAAAAAAGGTCATTTATCATGAGACGGAAAGAGTAAATGTTCACAAATTAGCTAAACGGCATAGCCAAGCACCATTACGTAATAAAAATTTACGAGAAACGACTCAAACATTTACAGAGTCAGACCCACCAAGTGACCGTGTCTCCTTAAATAGTCAGGGGAGCTCCACGAAAATGCTCGCCTCCAAGTATTTATGGAGGCATGCATCCTAAGGCGACCGCTTCTAGAATCATCGATTAATAGAAGTGGTCGTTTTAGGATGCTTATCCCCGTGAATCGATTTTCAGAGATGGACACCTTAAGACGTCGTCTCTCAAAATCGCTATTAACAGAGGTGGCTATTCTTTTAACAGGGCACCTTTAGAGGTGGGCCTCTCGAATAAATAGTAGCAACAAAAATAATTCATATATTTTTTTTATAAAAACTCGGATGAAGACAAACTTTATATAAAAAATTGTAGCTCTAGATGTGATCGCCAACTTTGTAGTTGATTTTTTTATTTCAAACAGTTTACAGTCCTAAAGATTTGTTCTAATTTTATGGACTTTGAAATTTAAAATTTGCAAACAACCTTAGATGTTGGCATGATCTATACCAAAATTATTTGTATAGTTGAAAAGTTTTTTTTTTGAATTGAAGTCGTTTACAATCCCAAATATGTGTCACAGTTTCATAAATTTTGAAATAAAAAATTTAGAATTTCTAAACGACACCTTGAATGTTCATATGGTTAAATATATACCAAAGTTGTAATGGACAACCTGATCTATATATTTGCTGTTTATTTAAATTTTTTTAGGGTCTCAAATATTTGTTTTAAATTCATATATTCTGATATTCAAAATTTTGAAATTTGTAAATAATGTCAGATGGACACACATCCTTCACCAAAGTTGCATTGCTTTGGTAATATCTTCTTCATGGTATGCATCAGCTATGTTCTGAGTCAGAACTCTTCTAAAGATATGTATAGGAAATAGAGAGACGATATATTTGTTAGTTCTGTGACTTGTACTTCAAGCTGCTGTCTTGCGCCTGGTTGTTGCCTGGTCGACCCGTGGTGAGCTAATAAGTTCGGCATCCACGTTTACACAATTTTGTAGTGGTGACTCATGTTTTTTCATGAACGCAAGTCTTACTTATCATAGATTTCACCGCACAACTGAATACGGTTTAAGTGACTTGATTTTGAATACTTCAGATGATCAACTTCAAAATATATAACCGAAAATTGAATTCAGAAATAACTAGTTAATTGGAGGCCAATCCGGACATATATAAACAATTAAACAGCAACACATAAATAGCACGGTTCTTGATAATCACATTACAATACATTATACATATAATACAGCAGACTTGAGCACACGACTTCCATGACTGATCGACAAACACTGATCCATATATATAGGTGCTGCGCTGATACTGATAGTAGGTGGTGATCAAGACGCAGACATGTCTAGGGGTTAACTCCTAACACGCACCTTTCCAAAATTGGAGCCCCGTTGATGGTGAGACTAAGGGAGAGACACTCACTACTTTCCAAGAAACGAAACCCTAAGCAAGGCGGGCACGAACGAACCGACGATCGAGAAAAGCAAACTAGCGAAAGACCACACAGACACAGACAAAGATACCCTCATCCATGCAAACAACGCGTGACGTGACGTGACGTGAGTACGTGACAAAGCATAACCGGTTCTTGTTGCACGCGTCGGCGGCAGGATGGATCAGGCGATGCGGGGGATGGCCGCGGCGGCGAGCGGCGTCTTCATCTCCAGGGAGAGCTTGAGGACCTCGTCGAGGCAAACGGGCGGCGCGCCTTCAGGCAGCGCCCACTCGAAGGCGTGCACGAGGCGGGCGACCCAGAGGCCCACGGTGGTGAGGCCCAGGTTCTTGCCGGGGCAGACGCGGCGCCCGGCGCCGAACGGGGCCAGGCGGAGGTCGACGCCGCGGACGTCCACGTCGGCGCCGCCCTCGGAGGGCAGGAACCGCTCCGGCGCGAACGCGTCCGGGTCGGCCCACACGGCGGCGTCGTGGGTGATGGCCCACATGTTCACCATCGCCGTGGTGCCGGCCGGGACCACCATGCCGTTGGAGAGGGGCACGTCGACGGTGGCGAGGCGCGCCCAGCTCAGCAGCGGGCCAGGCGGGTGGGCGCGCAGCGTCTCCTTCACGACCGCCTGCAGGTACGGCATGCGCGCCACGTCGGCGTCGGTGGGGCAACCGCCGGCGCCGACAGCCGCGTCCACCTCGGCGCGCACCCTCGCCTGCACCGCCGGGTGGCGCACCAGCTCCGCCATGCACCACTCGGTCAGAAGCGCCGTCGTGTCCGTACCGCGGAAGATCATCTCCTGCAAAAACAAATTATATAAATATTTTTTTCAGCGGCGGACACAAAAAGCTTTGCTCTTTTTTCCCTTTCGGGAAAAACCGACACAAAACTGTAGACCCGAGAAGTATATGCGTTGAACAAGCTAGGAAAGCGATCGATTTGAAGAACTTACCCAGAGGATGGCGACCATATCGTCGTCGCGGAGCTCTCGTCGCCCTCGAGGGATAGGAGCACGTCGACGAAGTCAGCATTGTCGTCGAGGGCGGCGGAGTTTTGGCGGCGGCGCCGGTGCTCGTCGATGACGCCACGGACGAAGGTCTGGACGCGCGGCACGAGCGCGGCGCAGCGGCGGGTGACGTTGCTGGGGTCGTACAGGTGGGCGAGCCAGGGGAGGTGGTCGGACCAGTTGAAGGCGCCGAGGAGCTCGAACCCCTCGCGCACCATGCTTTTGAGCTGCTCGGCCATCGCGGCGCCGGCGCCGGATGTGACGTCGTATCGCGTGCCGAAGACGCTGCCCATGATGTTGTTGAGAGCGGCGGCCTGGAGGTGCGGGCGGAGGACGACGGTGCCAGAGGCGGACTGCTCGGCGGCGACGGAGCGGAGCATGGCCTCCGCGTCGCCCTGGCGTCCCGGCTCGTGCGCGGCGACGCGGCGCGGGGAGAAGAGGTGCGTGGACGCGACGCGGCGGAGGCGGCGCCAGTAGTCGCCGTTGGGCGCGAACCCGATGGCGCGCGCGAACATGAGCTCCCGCGCCGACCGCTTCACGGGGCGGTCGGCGAAGGACGGTGCGCGAGCACCTCACGCGCCGTGGCCGGGCAGGACGACACGACCGCGGGCGTGTCCCCGACGGAGAATGCCATGAGCTCCTTGGCCCGGGGACCCGCGGCGCGGGCCATCGCGGCGAGGACGCGGTGCGGCAGCCCGCGGGACAGCGCGAAGATGCTGCCGAACACGGGGAGACCGCGGGGACCCACGACAGGAGTGGCGCCGAGGCAGCTGCGGCCGTGCGCCCACGCAGGCCCTCCCGGCGACGCGGCCCACGCCAGCAGAGCCGCCGTGACGGTGGTCAGGAAGAGCAGACCGGCCAGGAGGGCCGGGTTGGCGCACAAGGTGTCCGAGCCGAGCAGCGCCGGGAGCGCGTACACCCACCACGTGCCGTCCGTGCACGACGAAGCTGCGGAGGCCATCGCCATGGGCGAGGTGAGTTGTTGTGGCTAGCTAGCTGCTTCTAGTTGCTGCTACCAGCTTTGAGACGGTGTGTGTGGAGTGAGTGAATGGGTGGTGAGGAACTTTAGCCACCGGAGTTGGGGTATTTATAGAGGCGAGCCGTTCTGGGCTGTTTTTTTTTTATAGGTTCTGGGCTGGGCTTGCTTTGCTGGTGGCCTTTGTGCTCTCACACTGTCGCACATAAGTATTTGGTTTTGCTCCATGGGTGGGATGGAGCCTGGTGTAGCGGTGTAGTATTTGGTATCTACTGATCCAAAAAATGTACAGTACAGTGTAAGTATATTATTAGCATGGATGCGGAGCCTTTTTTTTTTTTGCAGTGTCAACCTTTTTGCTAACATGAATGTGACCATGCCGGCGCGCGGTGGGGCGCGGCGTGGCGGCCGCGGGCTCGTCGGGCGGGTGCGGCCCTGGCAGTGGTGGTGGCGGGCGGGCGTGCGCGTGGTGGTGGTGGCGGCGCGGCTGGGCGGGGCGCGGCGTGGTGGTGGCTGAGTGAGAGAGAGAGAAAGGGAAGCGAGGCCGGGTACAAGGGGCTGCCGCGCCGTGATGCGTGGCGTGGTAGGCCCGCCGCGCCGTGACGGGTGGCGCGTCAGACCTGCCACGTCAGCGGTCGCCGCAGCCGTTGACTGCCCCCTGCCGCGCCTCCATGCATGGCGCGGCAGCATGAATTAGCCGTGCGGTGCAAACAAGCGCGTCCAAAAGTGTTAGTTTAAAAAAAAATAGTGTCAGTTTTAAAAATAGTTTAAAAATGTATTAAAAATTAAAAAAATCGCTATTTAAACAATTTTAAAGGCACGCCTTTTTTTCTTTTTGCTACTACAGATGGTTGCGATTTTCCACCGTTTCTACAGATCCAAATAGATGGATGTACCTAAAAGACTACTCTCCCTAGAAATGAGACGAATTTTCAGAAGTGTTTCATAGTACCACTTCCCCAAGGAATAGATCTTTTTAGGGACAGTACTTTATTGAACAGCCCTTGGAAGTATGTTAACAAGAAAAGATCATATGAGGCTTGAGGTCGTAATCAAATCCTCTAGAATTCACACCTTACAAACTGCACTCGAAAATCATTTTTTTAGGATGGCCTGTAATATCAATTGATCTTAGAAATCAATTTCATGCAGCACACATGCCCCTACAAATGCCTTTCTTCTAGTTCTAGAGACGCTTGCGTCGAGGCATTTGCAAATTCTACCTCTAAAATCGTGCTCAACCACCTCAAAAAATAGTATTTTTTTTTCAAATCATAGTATGGACACAGAATGCTTTCCTCAATGTATGCACTCACACACTGTGTATCCTACGGGAACCTTCGAAATATTGACAAGATTGACGAAATCACAGCGTCTCGCTGACGACGAGCACGTCACCTACCAACTGAGCTTCACCAAAAATGGTATTTCATCATTAACATCCTACGTAGTACATTTTGACATTCTGACATTTGTTGGAATTTTGTATATTGGTTACAGCGACACCTTTATATCGCACCTACCATGGTGACTTAGTTGATCATAAGATCCGTCAATAGGTTACTTGTAGGATTCACATGATCCATCAATAGGAAACGCATGTGTACATGGCAAGCTATAAGCTTATCATCACCCGCTAAATTAGAGCTCTACATATATAATAAACTCTAAGAGCTTGTTTGACTGCACTCATATTCACCTCAATCTATATGTGTTGAGGTTCGTATATGTTAAGAAAGATTGGGGTGAAAATTAGTTAATAATTTTCTATTTCCATCCACCTCAACACATGTAAATTAAGAGGCATATTCGTTTTCCTCCAGTTCATGAATAATGTATTGTTGATCGGTTAATCAAGACTTAAATTAACGTTCTAGTTGTCTTGGTTTTTTCTGTCTATTGGAGTTGAGCTTTTAGTTGCTAGTAGTCCGGGTTTCTTGTCGACAAGTACCTTTTCATTTTCTCTTTTCTCAGGCGCCATCCAATTTAGTTAGTGGTTTTTACAGTTATATCACTATTACAAAAACCATTTTTAACAACAGAGACCTTATTTAGGGGCAGCTCAATCAAAATATACCTTTAAAAATGGTTTATGAAACAAGCCATACGTAGAAATCCATTTTTAGGGGCGGCTGAATCTAGAACCGTCTCAAAAAATAAGTTTAGCATAGTAGAATTCATAACTTTTTTAAACAAAGTTACGTGAAGTTAAACTTTATATCAAAGTTGTATACCTCGAATAGATCTACAACTTTATAGTTGACAACTTTTTTACTTGAAATTTGTTAGATCTAGCAAATTCTGTTTGAAGTTCTCACGTTTTTAAAATTCAAAATTTTTGAATTTTCCGAACGACCTCATATGAAGAAATGACCAAAACCGAAATTATAGATCCCAAGAAGATATAAAGCACTATAGTTTATAACATTTTTATTTGAAATAATCTATGGTCCCAAATTCAATTTTGAAGTGCTCACATTTTGAAATGACCTCGGATGGAGAAACAATAAAAATCAGAGTTGTAGATCTCAAAGAAATATGCAACTTTGTAGTTGACAGTCTTTTATTTTCATTTGAATTTGTTTATCCAAGTAAAATTCTGTTTGTATTTTTCATATATTAAAATTCAAAATTTTCAAACGACCTCGGACGGAGAAACGACCAAAAACAAAGTTGAAGTACTCAACGATATCTAAAACTTTGTTGTATAAACCTTTTCGATTTGAATTTATTTACTATCCTAAATACTCATTTCAAAATAGGGTAAACTGAATACGAGGGAATGTTTTCCTTTTAGTTACAAGTGATTTTAGGGTGGAGTGGTTAAGATAGCTACAGGCAAGGCCTGAGGTCGCAGGTTCGAACCCACACGTCCACACGCACGCGTATTTTGTGTGAAAATCACATCACCTGTTATGTGTGAGGCTCCTTGGGGCCTCCCCGGATTTTTTTGCCTGATTTATGATTTTTGAAAAACGATTTGTAGAGACGGCCGTATTTCGAGCCACCTCTAGAAACTCGATTTTTAGAGGCGGCTCGAAACGATTGTCGACATGGCTTCGGTTTCTAAACGCCCTGAAAATCAATTTGTAGAGGTGGTTTATGTTTCTAATAGCCTCTACGAATTGCTGATTTATAGAGATGAACTCCTCTGAAAAGACTATATGTTGTAGTGTAGTAAGATGTGTTTTCGGAACTTGGCAGACTCACCTTTTGTTTGTACTTTTTATTAAGGAAGCATTTATTAACTCAAGATAATTACATTGAGTCGATACAACCACTAGAGAGCACTTTTGACCTATGCATTAAAACACACGGCCTATAAAAACTTTTTCTTGACACTTTAGTGACTATGGGCGCGTTCGCTGCTCTAGTTCTTCCAGACCAGCTGGCTGCTCCCCCTCACAAGTTACTGTTCATCAAACCAGCCAAATAATGTTTCTCTCTCACAGAATCAGTCAGTTTCAGCCAAGTTTCAGACCAGCGAACGGGGCCTATCAATCTGTAGACTAGACCACCACCTATGTGTCTCGGTAGAAAGTTCCTTGACCACACATTCTAATTGTTGCAAGCCGCTATGACCAATTCCTATGAATGCATCTGCTGGAGAATTACCCAAATATGGAGCTAGTGGATAATCAAGTAGATAACCTACAAAGGAGAATTGATATTTTTTTTATCAAAGATCATATCATTTCAACATAGCCACAAAGACCAACAAGCTGTGGCCGCTCGTAACAGGAGTAGTGTTCTCAGGTCTGTTCCAATTCCCCGTAACGAACTACTAAACATATCTGTGCAATTATATACTAGCTTGGGACGTAAATGAAAAATCTGTAATAGTTTAATTAAGAACCACCTGTGCAATTTCGCTGCACCCATATCTATCTTGATTTTGGTTTGACAACGTCAGCGTATATGGGTCTATATGCCGAAGACGACGACGTGTGAGGATCTCTAATTTTATCGTGATCTCAGAACGAAAATCATGTGATGTATGCATTATTTTCATTGGTTGGAGGGAACTGCCGGTGTATATTTTTATGTACACGTACGAGTACTCGTATGTGATTTCAGGTACGACCAAATCGCGTGGTTTTGGGAGTTGGTGCCGGTGCAGCACTGTGCTTGCTGTCACGGAAACGCGTCAGCGAACCAAGCCAAGCTAGGACGAGAAAATAAAAACATGCAGTCCACTTAAGATTCAACCGTGTCGGTTTTCCTTTCAAAAAAACCAAATCGGGATTGAACTCAACAATGCAGTTTGCTTTTCATTTGTATAGCGAGGAGTGATAATAAAAAACCTATATTATATTCGTAGTAATTTTCTGGCGTTCAGGACATATTGACAATGGTCTATACAATATATGTAAGTTTGATTCTAATGTCGATATCTATAGGGAACAAGTCCTACGATAGTAAATCTACCATGTTCAACCAAGAGTAAAAGATCATACAGCGTTACAACTAGACAACGCAGCACAACGAACAAGAGTTGGAGTAGCCTGTCTAACGTTATGCATGCATTATAGTGGAAGTAGGCGTTCCTCCTTGCGTCCTAGCAGCAGCCCCATCCATCCATCTTATTGTCGCCATGACAGAAGACTTTGTTTGATATAGCTTCAGCTTTAGCTAAAACAGTTTCAGCTATGGCTTCTCCATAAACAATTTTTTTGCTTTGCGTTTGGTAAAGCATCTTTACCTCGCAGTGGAAAAAGGTTAAAATATCTATAGTACCTTTCTCTTTTTTTTGTTTTTCTCTCACTACCACAAAAAAATATCCGCATTCGAAAATGGATTTACAGAGGCGGACATTTTAAGATGTCTGTCTCTGAAAATCGCTATTAATAGAGACGGGCGTATTCCATTTTAAGATATCCACCTCTGTAAATCCATTTTCAGAGGTGGATGTTTATGATTGTCTCCGTTAGTAAAATAACTGCCTCCGTAAATCAATTTTGAGAGACAGACAATTTTTGAGTGTATTCGCA